CAGTCGTCACAGCGGCTCTAACGAAATGTATCAAGGTCTACCTCTTCAGTCAAAGTGAGTTTTCCATCGACTGCATGCTCGAGCTTTTCTAATGAGACAGTCGTCACAGCGGCTCTAACGAAATGCACCAGGGACCACCTCCTCTGTCAAAGTGAGTTTTCTATCGACTGCATGTTCAAAATTTCCTAATAAAGAGACAGTAGTCGTCACAGCGGATCTACTGAAATGCATCAGGGACCTCTGCAGTCAAAGTGAGTCTTCCGCTTTCAGAATCATTTCTATATTCACCCCGAACAGTCGCCATAGTGGCCCCAGCTATATGCCTGATCACTTCGGTCCACCATTGGATACTGGATCTCGTCACAGCGGCCCTAGTGAAATCTATCCCGTTCAGTCAAAGTGAATTTTTTAATCATACAATCTTTTCTGTATTCATATTTTACAGTCGTCATAATGGGTCCAACTACATGGCTGATCAGTACGGTCCACCAGCATTGGAGACTGGGTCTCCGAATGGCAGTTACGACGAGCATCATCACTTCTATTCCCCATCTTCGTATGAACCGGTTTCTTACCATGGACCGCCTCCAGGTCCAGGATACCATCACTATGGTCGACCACCTTATGTTCCAGAAGTCCCATATTACGCTCCTCCACCGCCTCGTCCGATATATCGAGGCCCATATGCTGAGCCAGAGCACTATGAAGGCTATTATCCGATGCCTCATATGAATGGTCGACCTGTATCCAGTCCGAGACATAGTCCTGTAGATCCAAGGCTTGTCCCTGCTGCTCGACGAGGCTCGACATCAGATTACCCTTATGCAAGTCCTCCAGACCGTTGGCATCATACACCACCTCAGCCACAGGCATGGCAAACTTGGGCGACGCCACCCGACGCCAGGCCGCCGCCTGAACATTTTCCTGAGGAAGAGGAAGAAAACACGGATGACGAGGAGGATCAGGAAGAGGAAGATGATGAAGCGCTTCTTGAGCCAGAGAGCGCTTCAGAAAAGGATCGTACCAGGGCTCTTCGTGACGATGCTGCGCGCAAAGAAGAAGAAGCTAGAGCCAAAGAGGAAGAGGATATCGCGCGACGTAAAGAGGAAGCCAAGGCGAGAGAAGAAGCAATACGCCTTCGAGAGCAAGAAGCTAAGGAGGAAGCTCGCAAGGCCTTGGAGGTCCAGGCAGAGATCAAGTTGAAGACAGAAGAAGCGGAACGGAGGCACGAAGAGGCAAAGCGACAGGAAAAGGCTGCGAAACGGAAAGAACAAGAGATCAAACAGAAAGAGCGCGAGGCGAAGAAAAAGGAAGATGAGATCAAGAGAAAGGAGGAAGAGGCTCGGAGGAAGGAAGAAGAAATTCGTCGCCAGACGGAAGAATCCAGGCGCAAGGCAGCAGAGACAGCCAGGAAAGAGGAGGAAATTCGTCAGAAGGAAGAAGAGCTGAAGCGACGTGAGCAAGAGCTTTTGCGTAAAGAGAGTGAGATGGAGACCCGAAGGAAGGAAGAAGAAAGGGCCAAGAAGAAGGCGGAGAAGGCGAAGCAGGATGAAGAAGCTCGTCAAGCTGAACGCAGACGAAAGGAACAAGAGGAAGAGGAGAGACGCGAAGAGCTGAGGCGTAAAGAGCAGGAAGAGGAACGAAAACGAGAAGAACTAGATGCTGCTTGGAAAGAGAAGGAGAGACGCCAGAAGGATGAAGATGCGAAGAGACGGCAGGAATCAGACGCTGCGAAAGAGAAAGAGGACAAGCGCAAGAAAGACGAGCAAGCCCAGGCAGAATTCTTCAAGCGTGAACAGGACATTCATCGTCGCCATTATGAGGATATCAGACAGCGACAAGACAGCTTTGGATCAGATACTGTCTGGTCTTCTGCATCGGCAAACTATTCCTCTACTTCTTCAACATCTTCCAAAGCTTCAGCATCGACTGGAGCTAGCACACCTCAGCGCAGCGCTACTTCTCCGACATGGACATCTTGGGCTGGAACTCCGAATTCCAATTCCAACTCTATTCCAGCTCGTTCGTCGAGTCAATCGACGACATCGACACCTACTGCCAAGCCTCGGACACCAGTATATGCTTCTCCCAGTCCTGTTCCTGATATGGAAGAATTTCAACGCCGCCAGGAAAAGATTGCTCGTGAACAGCAGGAAAAGTTCCGTCAGGAGCAGGAGCGAATGGAGCGCGAAAGGCTTCAGAAAGCTGGCACGATGATGACCAAAGAGGATGTTCTTCGTCTCTTCGACGCTCATGGGCGAATGTGGTCTCAAATGAGAACACAATCAGAGCTCAAATGGGACTCTTTTCCATGGCCAACAATCAAGAAGCCATCTTCGCCGGAAGAAATCAGCTATCACGCCGTCAATGCCTACATTTTTTCGCCCTACTATCCTGAAAAGGACAAGGCGGACAAAGACCGTCTGAAGGAGCATATTCGTAAATGGCATCCCGACCGCTTCGATACCCAATGGTTACCTTCTGTCGTTCAGCGCGACAAGACCTTGGTCAAAGAGGGAGCAGGACAGGTGGTGCGATATCTCAATGAGATGCTGAGCAAGTCAAACTCTTCCAATTCATTTCTCTGAACCGTCATATCATCTATGAACCGTCATCTGCATGGTATATATACTCATCTGGAATTTGGTTATGTAGCATTTTTAGCATGTAAACACCTCAATTGTTGTATAAATTACAAAGAAACAAAGAATGTACTTGGTCGCGCTCTAATTTTTCGGCACATGATTTCTACGTCATCACGCTCCTTGGCTCAAACCACCATGAGCGATCCCAAGGTACGACTGAAGCAAAGATTAGACAGCGTAAATGACGAGATATCAGAATTCTGACGAACCAGCATGTCAGGCGCAAGGTACTTGGCTTTGTCGCGAACCGTAACATGGCGATTCTGACTGATTTTTCTTCAGCATGCAGTCTCCATGCCTGTCTCAACAAAAACACCTACAAGCCCGAGAAATGCGACAGTTATGTCAGGGAACTATATGAATGCTGCCAGCGGATGTATGAGGCTAGCGGAGGTCAAGGGGACTCGACAGCATGCCCGAAGAAGAGTACTCTAGACAAGTGGTTTAAAAATCACCCAAAAACATCTTGATGGCAAAACAACGAATATCTACCTAGCTTTCTGAGATATGTCGAGCGAAAAAGTCGGCATGCGTGAGGGTCGAACTTGCGACTTCCCATTGCTTGCCGAGACCGGCTCGGATGTTCGCGCCGAGTCCGACTGCAACTTGTCTCTTCGAGTTTCAGTGAGTTCCTTGGTATTTCTGGAGTATTTGGTGTTTCTTATCAACGTAAAAAGGACCCTAAGGCTGTCTTGTTTGATACCGTGTCTCAAAATTTCAAAAAAGTTTCAGGCCGTATTTGGACCACTTCTTTAATCTTTGCTTATTTGCACGTCCTCGATGTTTACTGTAGACGGGGAGTTTTTGAGAAGTTCGGGGAACCGCCGCTGACAATCAAAGGCGTGATCTGGTCCGTGCGCGCTATCAAAACTATAAAACGATCTCTTTTTCACATTGATTCCTTACCACTCTGGCCTTTTGGTTCGTCTTCCTGCTTATTTGTGGCGCATTCCACTGATCTTCTTCTCCTCCTCGTAGGCTTAGATCAAGTGTAGTATCTGGTACGAGCTCAAACCCTTTTCATCTGAATCAAGGCTGATATCCTCCTTCCAGTTCTTAATAGTTTAACCACTATTATGGAGGCACCGCCTCCATTTCTGGTTATTTAATTTTTGCCGCCCTTGCTCCTCGTGCTCTGCTTGCAACATGGGGACATGATGACCTTGCTACTGCAGTACCGGCTTGTGTCGTCGGGGGATCCTTCTCTGTTTTTTTGAGCCAGCTTTCCTAGAGCATCATTTGATGCGCTACGGGCTGCCGCAAAAATATCAGATGAGAAGGTCCTTTTTGAGCAGTTTATTCTCTAGTTTACTATGCTTGCGTGTGTCGGTAAATATGGGGGATTTTATGTTGCATATATGTGCATATAGTCCGTTGTAACACGTCCGCCGGAAATAAATATACAACGTTCGAGGTTTCACTAAGCTGCGCTGGGCTTATGAACCTGTATCTCATAAATGCTTCCGAGTCAACGTCGCCGACTCACGTAGGTCCATATAGCGTCTTGGAGACGTGGTCTATTGTCCCCTTGCTTTGGTAACTGTTTGTGATATCTTGGTTCAACCTAGAATCGGCTCAAATGTGAACAGATCGGAGATAATAGGCCTTTGTTGTTCTTATTATATATATGTACTGAAACGAGTCACAAAGTAATTTGTATTTGCACCAATCACCGTATGGGTTCATGGGTAGAGAAAGCAAAGGACTGGCGCGCTCAATATATTCTAGAATTTTGAAAAAGGAGAACATCTTTACCGTTGCATACTGGACTGCCTCCAAAAGTTGCCAATTTAAGCAACTGTAACGCAGAGCGGGTCAATTTTCGCTAGGCGATGACTCAGCCCGTGATTTGGATGCGGTTGCTACCATACATAGCGGTACAATATATGCGCATATAGTCCATTCTAATGCATCTCCCGGAAACATACATGTTGGAGGTTTTGTTGACCTTGCACTTGACTTCTGAACATGTAGCAGTAACAGAACAGTTGAAAAGTGCTTCCAATTAGTCTGACCTGAACATCGCCGACCTCAGGTAAGAAAGACTCAAGAGTCATTACACGATATATGTACAATCTTTGAAGACTCAGTCTATCGTGGTCTGTCCCTTGCTTCAGTGTGGATCACTGGTTCGGCCTTGGCTCACCTGTCTTGACAAGATAACAGGCCTTTGGGCATCTTGTGATTGTGCTCGTTGGTGAATGCGAATGGGACATGGTGTTGTGTTCTCTGAGGTGAATATATTGCAGATTGGAAAAGCTCACGCTCTTAAATATGTCCTAAAAACTTGAAAAAAGGAGGAAAACATGTGCGTCAAGTTCGGGATGAGGTTGAACGCATCAAAAAAAACCGTTTAGCCCACCGCGAGGGTCGAACTCGCAGCCTTCAGATCACCCATCCCCCTCAATCGTGAATCGTGTCAGAGCCGGGCGTAAGAGTCTGACGCTCTATCCGATTGAGCTAGGCAGGCTCGTTATGAGCCTGTAGTGACAAGTATAAGATATATCTTTCAACTTGAAGCTAAGGAAACGGATGAGTTTTCGTAGTGTGGCGTCAAAAACCGACTTTGATCGCAATTTCCATCCCCCGATCACCGGAAATCACGAGGCGATGTATACACCCGTTAGCGGCAGATACGAGGTCCATTTTGCATGTTGAACCGAAGGAAAAGGAGGTGTTGTCACTGAGTTATGGCCAAAATACGAAAAACCAGATTTTGATCTGGCGATCGGCCCATCAGATCACAAAATGCGATCGACTTTGTCGGACATCCACAGAGCTTTATCGACTCTCCAACTTGAATCCAAGCAAACGGACATGTTCTTGCCGAGTTGTATGTAGTCGAAACATGAAACCCGTACTCTGATGGACTTTGCGTCAGCGCGATCACGTCCGCTGAGTCAGCATTCGGCAACTTGAATCCGCCTTCCATATTCATAGAATCATAAACGACTTGAATTGACTACCAAAAAAAGCCTTGACGCCCTTTACGCTCAACTCATGCCTTTAGGTGAACTTTAATATTATTCTTAGGCTTTGGCGTTTCGATTGACCTATCGCTTGTTTTAGCCTCGATACCAGGCCCTCTTCCTCGATTCCTCGTCCGGACCAGTTTTCAGGTCTATGCTTGTTTCAGAATGAATTTCTCGCCCTGGACTTGTCGGTGGCTGAGTAAGAAGGCTGAGGCTGGTTTGTAAAGCTTACTGCGCCCATTGTTCCCCATATGACTTGGATTCTTCGCTACCTTGACGATTAAAGGGGTGCCTGGAATGTCAGAGATCCTCGCAATCTTCAAGGGGATGTCATGTTGTTCCTTTTTGCGCTATTCCTGTTTTCAATCTCAGTCCGATCCACGACGCTGCTCAGAGGTGGTACCTTTATCACGTACTCTGATACCAACCAGAACTTGACAATCATCACCAATGGTGCAATGCTCTTCAACACAACGATTCTCGCCATTTCGGACACCATTGACGGCCTAGATTCACATTGCAGCGATGACGGAGTGCAAATTGTGAATACGACAGGCGAAATCATTTCACCTCGATTTGTTGATACTCACCGGCACACTTGGTCAATCGAAAATCCCTTGAAGGAACGAACAATACTGTATTCATATCATCTAAAAGGCAAACCGCCATGCGAACTCAGCTTGGTCCAAATGTTCAGTTGACGAATTATGCCTGGTTGTCACGGTATGCTCTGTGACCTGCTCCAAAGATGCTATTTTTTGACCTAATTGACAAGATTTGGGACGACGGGACCAGCTCCACTCATTCTGTCCCCTGATGATATTTACATCCGAGTCGCTTCGTTGATGGTGACTTTCCAAGCCCTAAATGCTGGTGTCACGACCAGTCTCGACTTTGCTCATATGACTTGCACGCGAGTTCATTCCGAAGCTGGCCTGCAAGGTGTCATTGACAGTGGCGCTCGTGTCTGGTGGTGCTAAAATGTTGGAGGTGTCGTAGTCAACGGTGATCCTTATACAGCTGAGTTGTTTCAAGTCAAGTCCACAGTGGTTCAACCAAGATGCAGTAAATACCAGTGCGCCTATCGATCAGCTTGCCCATATCCGTGAACTCGCTCAGGACAACCCTTCAACGAAGGGCTTATAAATTCAGGAATCGCCGCTGATCCCTTGACAACAGAGATAGTAGAAACAGCCTTGTTCGAGTCATCTTCTTTTCACATAATGGTATTCTGACCAGTTCCAGGAATCTTTGGCCAAAGGTCCTGATGGCTCATGATGTTGGTGGAATCTACTTTCCTTGTACGTCGTCTCAAGGCTTTGTTAACCTTACTCAACTGGTTTCCGGTCACCAGCGACAACGTGATTGAAGGTGTAAATGGCCTGACACCTGGCCAACCTACTCTGAACACGAGTCTAGCTTTCGTCTTCTTTCGTCTTCGCTCATTCGTCATCCCTTGAACCAATACACCAGTATCACGCCGGAAAGTGAGATGAATTATGGACATGGACATCCATCATCAATCATTCCTGGACCGCCTCTTTCTTCTTGTTTCAGGGATATCTACTCATCCAGGGTCTCAAGATTCAAGACCAAGGATCTCTGGGAGTGGATACCCACTTTACTTTTTCGATTGAGATGATCACGCAAATGCGGATCTGGCTTCAGGCAACACGATTGCAACTCTACCAGGACCAATTGAACCATTTCAAAGTGCCTCCAGCACTCCCATGTCGGTCCATGGTGCTTTCCTTCTCGGTGGTCTCGCTCTCAAGCAGCCTGATCTCGGTGTCCTTCGTGAAGGAACCAAAGCTGACGTGCTCGTTTTCTCAATCGACGCATTGGGACTTATTGGTTGGAGCGATCCTGTGGCTGCTATCGTGCTACATTCAAATGTTGTTGACATTGACGGAATCTATGTCGATGGAAATTGGTCAAACAGAGCGGGAAAATGGTCGTGGATTGGGTTGGGAAAGGATACGCCGACAGATTGAGAGCAAGTGCTGAAAATTTCCGCGAAAATTTACTACTGCAAAATGATTACAGTGAAATGAACAGCCCAATCACTCAAATATGACCTAGAGTTTTAAAATCGCACTCTATCCGCGAATCCGCCTAGAATGTGTCTGGACACTAAAAGGTGCCAAGGAAGTGTAAAACCTCGTAAGACGCGTGCGCCACAGATTCGACATGCCTACGCGAAGCCCGACACGATTGATTGATCAGCAGCCACGATTACCAGATACTCTTCCCTTCCTATGCTCTCTCTAATTCCCAGAAACCTAGAAAGAAAGACTGCCCTAAAACGGCTTTTGACTTGACTGTATTGGATCAAGTTGCCTTGATACTGCTCGTCAGAAGGCCACGTGAGGAAAACAACAACGACGGTGTGGATACCACAGAAAGCGAAACCACTAGAACAAAAGCGATAAAGTAGGGCTAAAGGATCATTAAACTACATGATATGCGGGGAAAGTCTGTTGAAGTGTTCACTCATTCTCCATGGCCTCCTTCTCATAGCGCTTCTTCATGGCACTCACTGAGAAATCAGAGCGTCAGTCTTACATTGCCATATCTATGTGGAACTTACCATCTCTGGATATCTGGCCACTCGACATCCAGCCGTCAGGGAATGCCGCCACGATCTTCTGGTAGAGAACTTTCCGAAGGCCTTGTTCTGACACTTGGAGTACTGAACCCTCCAAAGTGCTAGTGGTCATGTTAGATGAGAATCGATGTCAAAGCAAAGAATACCCACTTCTTTTCATTCTCCAGCCGACACCCTTCATTGCTCAATAGTACAAGCTCCCATACTATGTTCTTCATCGAATCTGTCATACGGTATTTCTTCGGTGGCGGGTGACTATTTGGATCCGCTTTCGGAGCTGGCTCTAACACGATGGTCAGAACAGAAGAAACAATCAGGCAAGAATCACACCTTTAGGGCCATCTTTCTCGTCCACTTCCATTTCCTCAGTCCCATGTCGTGTAGGTGCCCCAGAATCGTCACCTGCCATACTGGCATTTCCACTAGCATCACCGTTGGCTTCAGCCTCTGCCACACGCTTCTCTTGGCGTTTTTCTAATGCCAATTGTCAGCACTTCAAGAAGGACATCCAAAATCGACCAACCCCATGCTTTTACACCCTTCTCCCATTCTTCTTCGGCTTTAGGAAACCCATTCTTTGCCTGTCAAGTTTAGATATAGTCAGGCAATGCAGGGAATAAATAAGTACCTGATCCTCGAGCTCTTTGAGGAGATTATCACTGCGCTCGTTAAGTAAATTTACATGGTCTTGATATACAGTGCGTTTGATGAGTTTCTGCTCAAGGGTCAGCGATAGACTGAGTATCTGCAACTTGCTCACCGTCATCGTGAATTTGTTGTATGGAAAAAGAGTGGGCATCAAGCTCCAAAAGTATTCGTCGTACTCGTCCAGCTTGATAGCCTTTAATGCGACTTCTGCCAGGATAGGCTTGAGGCCTGGCGGAAATTTGCCCTTGGTTTCCCATGATTCTGTGAAGGAATGACACCTTTGTCGGATGCGTCAAAGACTGAAACACACCTTGAGCTATAGCCACTTTGAGACCGTCGATTGCCTTCTGCAACTCTGGATGAAACGAGTGCTGGATGAAAGGGTCAACAAACAGTCGGGCCACCAGAAAAATCAGACTTACCCCTTCGACGGTCGTCTTTCTCCTCTTCCCATTCTCCGTCCCGGGCACATTTCGTTTTCGTTTTTGTCCCACTTGGTCGGCTCCAGGATCCAGCGCCCCTTCGGTCTCCTCCTTCTTTACTGTCCCATTCTTCTTGGTGGTTCCATTCGTCTTGGGTGGAGCATCTTCACCGTCACTCATGAGAGCAATAGGCGACTCGCGAGTTCCTTCAAGCACTGGCTTGGCCGTGGGTTTCACGGAGGAAGGTCCGGCACCAGGAGTCGCGAGCGACAGAACTGGAGGTCTCTTTGAACGAGGTTTCTTCGGCGAACTGGTATGAATCAGTAATATGAAAGGCCGATAGACGAGAGCACGAACTTGTCTTTGAGCAAGGCGACCTCTCCCGAAGAAACATAGAAACCCTGTTGTTTTGTCTGAGCGAAAAATGTGCGCTGGTCGATTGCTAGCTCTGAGTCGTCGATAAATGGGTCCGAAGTATCGTAGTTTTCTGCGCCAACCGGTTTCCGCTACAAGGACGATAAGTAAATACCCAGAACAAAAGAGTATCATTTGCCTTTTTTCTCTTTTTCACGGTGTCTTGAGCCGGGGACTCTGTGGTCGCTGTGGTTTCGGCTGGTGGTTCTGGTTCGCTGTCGCTGGAATCGCCTTTGCCAAGGAAGACGGGGGCTAGTGGGGTAGGAGGTCTTTGACCTGCAGCCTTTGCGAGACTGTCAATGTCGACTTCATAATTGTTGGGTCCACCAAGGTCAATTTCCAGTCGAATAGTACCAATGATGCGTTTCGGTAGAGGAGGTGGACTGGGACTGGGTGATTTGGCTGG